ACTTCAACACTTTAATAGAGAGAGTGGACAGCCATTGACTCATCAAGGGGAGACCTAGACTTCCCTCTTTACTTCTGTGGGTGTAAGCCCCTGCTTCTTCTGTGGTGTTAGCTAAAGTAGCATGGCTATTGCTTCACGATGTGTGTCTTAAGCTGCTATGTATGCCCATGTTCTCTGGCTAAGAGAATGCCAGCCTTCCTTGGGGCTGTCTCTGAAGATTTCAGCCCTACAGGTTTTTTTATTCAGGTCCAACTGTAGTATTTATGAGTCCAAAAGAAAGTTACAAGGCTCCATGTGAGTTTCAGACAACTGAGGTCTTTAGTTTGTTCACCTTTGCTTTCTGAGTCTGATATCCAGATAGGTCCCTCAGAACCATGAAATACTGCATTTGGCACACACTCATTGCTAACAACAGGGCAGTTGCACATATGAACATAAAAGTTATGACAGCATGTACTACGTCATACCAGATAAAACCCACGCATCGAGCATGGAGGTGAGGAGCTATTGGAAACTGATGGCCATTGAGAGGAGAGTCTGTTTTCAGCAAGGATGCAGCTCCTGAGATTCTGCACCTATACATATACACAGCATGAGTGGACTCCTGGGTTAAAAACAAAAAAGAACACATTAGTTTTCTAGAAAATAAATAGTAAGGGGTGGTATAGCAGAGGGACTGGAGTGCAGGGAAAAGGAAGTTTGGATTTGATCAAATAACCATAGTATGAATGTGTAAAATTATCAAACAATTTTTTAAAAATGTATCACCCAAGGGAAGCTTTGCTTACTCTTCCCAGATACCCAGAGCCTGGCATGTAAGTCTCTCTTTGGGTTCTGAGTCTTAGCCTTAAAAGTTTACTTTGAAAATCACTTAAAAATTTACTTTGAAAATCACTTCACAGGCCTCCAAACTCACAGAAATGGAGCTTGGGCTAAGAGAGCATTATTACTTAATTCTTTTTAAAATTTATTTATTTATTAAAAATTTCCACTCCTTCCCTCCTCCCATTTTCCTCCCCCTCCCCCTACCCCCTCCCTCACCAGTCCTAAGAGCAGTCAGGGTTCCCTGCCCTGTGGGAAGTCCAAGGTCTTCCTCCCTCCATCCAGGTCTAGGAAGGTGAGCATCCAAACAGGCTAGGCTCCCACAAAGCCAGTACATGCAGTAGAATCAAAACCCAGTGCCATTGTCCTTGGCTTCTCAGTCAGCCCTCATTGTCAGCCACGTTTAGAGAGTCCGGTTTGATCACATGCTTGTTCAGTCCCAGTCCAGCTGGCCTTGGTGAGCTTCCATTAAATCAGTCCCACTGTCTCCATGGGTGGACAAACCCCTCGTAGTCCTGACTTCCTTGCTCATGTTCTCCCTCCTTCTGCTCTTCATCTGGGCCTTGGGAGCTCAGTCCAGTGCTCCAATGTGGGTCTCTGTCTCTATCTCCATCCATCACCAGATGAAGGTTCTATGGTGATATGCAAGATATTCATCAGTGTTGCTATAGGATAAGGCCAGTTCAGGCACCCTGTCCTCTGCTGCCCAAGGACCTAGCTGGGGACATCTCCTTGGATGCCTGGGAACCCCTCTAGAGCCAAGTCTCTTGCCAACCCTAAAATGGCTCCCTTAATTAAGATATCTTCTTCCCCGCTCCCATATCCACCCTTTCTCCATCCCAACCATCCCATTCCCCCAAGCTCTTCCCAATCCTCCCCTTCTCCCTTCTCTCTTCCCTCTCCCCTTCCCCCCACCCAACCCCCACCCCTGTGCTCCCAACTTTTGCCTGGCGGTCTTGGTGCCCCTCAATAGAAGAATGGATAAAGAAGGTGTGGCACATATACACTTTAGAGTTCTAGTCAGCGGTAAAAAACAATGACATCTTGAATTCTGCATGCAAATGGATGGAAATAGAAAACACTTTACTGAGTAAGATAACCCAGACCCAAAAAGATGAATATCGTATGTACTCACTCATAATTGGTTTCTGGCCATAAACAAAGGACACTGAGCCTATAATTCGTGATCCTAGAGAAGCTAAATAAGAAGGTGAACCCAAAGAAAAACATATATTTATCCTCCTGGATATTGGAAGTATTACTTAATTCTTAAAGCCCTAAACTTAGGTCTTATTTTAGAGCCCAGTCAGATGCTAATGGCAGAGGACATGGCAAGTTATTGTAATCTAATTTTCAATACGCATCATCATGTTTCCTGGAGTGTGCGTGTGTGTGCACATGTATGTGTAAATCAGAGTTAAACATCAGATGTCTTTCTTACTCTCCACACTATGATGAGGATGATGATGTTGATGATGATGAGATGATAGGATCTCCCACTTGAAACTGGAGCTTATGGACTGATTAGCAAACCGGCAAGCTTTTGAGGCCCACCTGTCTCCACACCTGTGGCCCAGCACTGGGATTACAGTCCCACACTGACATACCCAGCATTTTAAGTAGGTGTTAGAGCTCTTAACTCAGCTCCTCACACTTGTGTGACACTTTCCCTACATTTCTCCTGAGCCCATTTCCTGGAATCTTTATGTTCGTCTGCCGATAGTCCTGTCAAACAGGTAGGGAGAAGCTTCTGTCCTGCCTGAGCTGGCCTTGTTTTGTTTTTATTTTGTGAGTCTAGATTGACTGACTAAAATATTACATTGGAATTGCTATGGAACTGATTGATGTCAAGGTCCTGAGTTTTATCAGAGAGAGAGGAAGGGAGGGGAGAGGAGGGGGAGAAAGAGAGAGAGAGAGAGAGAGAGAGAGAGAGAGAGAGAGAACTGTATTTTACCTCTTTAGATGTTAGGTTTTTCCAGGCAGGAACAACTTGCTGACATGTTTTCATTTTCCCTCCCTTGTAGCAGAAAGACTCACAATGTCAATTTAGAACCTTGAGTATCTCCATTCTTGCGAGTGGTGCTTGGACACCTGATAGTTCAAAATGGCTTCTACTTTCCTGATAACTCTACATGCCACCTATTTCTAGAGTTGAATAGGAGCCTTTGTGCTTGTACATGTTTATTTCCCTGGCTGTTTAGTTCTAGAGAAAGCCAGGAGTTCCTGCCGGAGGAAGGGTGCTTTGGAACAGTGATCCTTTTGTTTGTATGACTAGCCCTGAGTCCCCATGCACTGAAGGCATCGGCCAGACCTAATATAGAGCCTAAAGTTGCTCACTGTGGCTATCACCTACTGTCCAGGTCTGTCATATATTCCAAGCTTGACTTCACAGCCTGTGCTAGACTTAGAGCAGCAGTTCTCAACTTGTGGGTCACAATCCCTTTAGGAGTCAAACAACCCTTTCACAGGACAGGGGTCATTTAAGAGCATCAGAAAACACAGAAAATTACATTGCAATTTATAACAGTAGCAAAATTACAGTTAGGAAGTAGCACTAATTTGGGATCATTACAACATGATGAGCTATGTGAAAGGGTCTCAGCATTAGGAAGGCTGAGAACCACTGCATGAGAGAAACCACTGTATTCTGCTCTTTGAAAATCGTCCTATGACAGGGTCAGTGACTTAGGTTTGGTATGGTGCAGGGCACCAGTATAAGAGATGAACCACTGGAAGCTGAATGCATAGAAATCTGCCCCCTAGAATGTTGCCAGAGAAATGACTTCTCTTCCAATTATATATAGGTCCCAGTGGGCTGAGAGGGGGATTATTTTACATTAATTGGGTCTGCTCCATGAAGTTCTAAATATCATTCAACACAGAGAAAATTACCATTTCTCTTGTGATTCTTCCCATTCTCCTAGTGGTGTTCTCCAGACTGAGGCAGTGAATTTCATTAAAATTGTAGAGAGTGGTAGGGTGTAACACTGGGACAACACAGTCTACACTAATTTCAAAATCCCTGCATGCACGCACGCGGTTGCAAGTATGTCTAGTATCTTGGTTAGAGATTCTATTGCTGCAACAAAACCCCATGGTCAAAAGCAACCTCAGATCTCTAGGTGACAGTCCATCACGAAGGGAAGTCAGGGCAGGAACCCAGAGGCAGGAACTAAGCCGAAGCCATGGAGGAGCACTAGTGACTTGTTCTTGTGGCTTACTCAGTGTGTTTTCTTACATAATCCAGTACTACCCGTCCAGAGGTAGTACCATCCCCGGTGATCTCTGCCACCCACATTAATCAAGAAAGTGAGCTACTCATCTGCCTACAGGCCACTCTTCTGTGCGCACTCTCAGTCGAGCCCCTCTGTCCAGACAACTGTAGTTTGTGTCATGATATGATACCAACTAGCACACAGTTATACAATTTCCCCCTCTTCCTCACCACCCCACCACCCCCACACATGCAACTTCTCCTTCCATGTTATTTGGAGTCTAAGAAGAATCTTTCCTGTGTGAGTCAAGGCCTTTTACACAACTCCACTACAGTTCAGAGATAAAGCCTCAAGCAGCCATGCTGTGTTCATCCTGCTTCTTAACTGCTATTTGGATCAGGCTAAATGATCTCCTGAACAGAAGTGATGAGCATAAATGAGTCTTTTTGGATCTCTAGAACATGCATACTGCCCCACAATAACATGTAAACCTTGTCATTGTTTCTTTTCTCTACTGCCAAGTCTAGCTTGACCTCTGAAGAGCAATCAACCCAGGACTGGCAATGGTGTCACTTATTAAGAACTGCCTTTTGAGTGGTAACAGATATTCACGCTTTAAAACTACTCAGAACCTGATTTAATCTTAGTGGGCCCAGAACTCCATATTCTCTGTAAAGTCAAACACCGTGGAAAGCGTATCTGGAAAAGGAAGGCACCCTGCGCATTAAGAGCAAGTTTACACCAGTGCACAGACATCTTACCAACTTGGTAAAGAGGAAGGACATTTGCTTTTGCTGCATCCAATGGGTTGGGGTATGGACTGGTTGACAGACACTTTTGCCACTTCCCCTTTTCTGTTTAAGCAAGATCCCTTCTGAATCAGTGCTTTATCCTAGATCCACAGTTCAGCTGCTCTGACAGGAGCTGCACCCGTCACAAAGGGAACTGCTTGTCTCTAGCCTCATGCTGCTGTGGTCACTGCTTCTGGCCCTTGGTACGTAGGATGCTGAAAAAGACCTGGGGTGGTACAGGGTAGAACTACCTCCATTGGGCACCCCTAGATACTCTTCCTGAGCATATGTCTCTCTGGTGGGGTGTGGAGAGATGGGTTCCGCTACTGATCCAGTACTGGCAGGAACGTTGCAAATAGGAGCTGAGCAAAGCAGGGTTCTCAGAATAAGAAAAAGACTCGTGCGTGTGTGTGTGTGTGTGTGTGTGTGTGTGTGTGTGTGTGTTGTCCTTACTAAAGGCTGATGTTTTGTCTCTATTATTTCTGTTTGGTCTCTATGAAAACAGTAAATTTTCATTGAAAGGGCTTCAAAGAAGTTTTCTGTTGAAGTGGATACCAAGCACAGCCTACATAAATTTGACACCCTGAGGCTCAGACTCTACTTCAAGAGTAGACATTTTTAGCTGAACTTTTATCTCCATAGAAGGGGGAACTGATGCCAACGAAATATCAGCAGATCCTGTGTTTCTTTCGTGGCCCTTCCTGGTGTCTAGGTTGCCCCTGTGTACATGATTTCTCTTAAGCAAAATAGTCTAGACAGTTTAATGATAGAGCCCCCAAACTGGCTATCCAATACATACTGACCAGCCCTGAGATTATGTAATACAGGTTGTATTATGTGTGTGTATGTGTGTGTATAATTATATATATATTATGTATCATATATGTGTATAAATGTGTATGTATATACATACATACTTACATACACAATTAAAAGTTATAAATTTGAAAAAAGCAGACACACACACACACAACCATTAGAAACCATGAATTTGAAAAAGAGCAGAGAATATGTGGGAGGAGTTGGGGGGAGAGGAAAGGGAGAAAAAGATGTAGTTATATTTTAATTTCAAAAAAATAATATTTAAATATTTAAAAGAAGGTGGAAGAGGAGATAATAAATGAAGCTCTTGAAATACAAACTTCTGGGACTACTTACAATGTTCTAGGAATATAAAAATGAATCTTGGGTTCCATATGAGTTTCATTTGTGAGTGGGAGGGAGGTATGAAATAAAGATGGGGAGAAATGATAGAGGAAATGAAGGAGGGGAGTTGAAAGGGGTAATGGAAGGAGGAAGAAACAGGAAGGAAAAGAAAAGGCAACACTTGGGAATCCTCAGAGGGCTATAGCGTTTTTACAAAGTGTTAATACCTTGGTCCATGTAATCTCTCTGACTCTGTTCCCTCACAGCTCCTGTCGGAGTCCATTCCGGTAAGCAACTCTTCTCTTAATTCCTCTGGCTCTCTGGGACTCTTGGGCATGGGTGGCCCTGCCTGGTGAAACCTCTTAGCAGAAAGCTGCAGGGGTCTGAGCCAGAAACGGGATGAAGAGAAGAAGGACCCAGCACCTCACTCACTGCCCATTGATCAGATGTGGTAGGGTGCACTGTGGCCCCACCATGTCCTGACCCCTTAAAACAATGAAATAGTTCCTGTTTGCTGCTGACCCCTCAGAAGGAAAGAGAGTAATTGTGAAGGGAAAACCATCTGTGTAGTCACTGGGGAGAAAAGTCCCCATCCTCAACAGAAGCAATGACTGAAAAGATATTTATAACAGAGGGGCAGTAAAAGGCTGAGGAGGTGTTCTGTAGAGGACATGAACATCCTTAGGTCTCTACTGGGATGGAAACAACCCAATGTCTAATGTATTTTCTGTTTTTATTGGAATTTTAATATAATGAAATTAAGAAAACACTTAGTTTCACGGTAGCCTGGGAAATTAGACTTTCATCTTTGGTTAAGCCTTTGAGAACACATTCATTCTACGATGTGCAGAGAAGAAGATGCTGTGTACCTAGGTTTGTAATTTTAAACAAGAATTTTTAAATTACTTGGTGGGAGTGGGGGAAATCTCTTGAGCAATTTTGTCAGATCCAGTGAACTCTCAGAATTAAGATAAAATGTACACATGTACACAGTTGCAGTCAATTGGAGGAAATACAGCTCTTAGGAAAATCTCAGAAATCAAGATCACTAACCCAAGTGTCTTGCAGTTAAATCCTTATTTCAGTCCCAGGGAAACCTGTTGTAACTTTTCTCTGTCACCTACCTACTCCTTGGATCATTCTCAATTTGGTCTCATGAATTTTACATCTCACATATTTCTTTAATTAAACTGATTTTATTTCTAAAATATTCACCTGAACCTATTGTCTGGCCTCACCATGTAGGAAAAAGAATATTGGTCTGTCACACCTGTTTATCAACATTTGTGCCCAACCATCTACTTCTGTTTCCATTATCTTTCAAAGCCAGCGAAAGTTACACAGAAGTTATCATTGCGTTAGGTTAGTCACTTTGCCCTACTGAAACCATCTAAATGAGCATTTCCAACATGTCATATAGATATAGAGATGTGAACAAGGAAAAAATGCATATGTAAGCAGAACATTTTGAAGGATGAGAAGGTGAAATGAGGATTTAGTTCAGTCAAGAGTACTGGCCTGGATAGAATGGGCAAGATCCTGAGTTTGAGCCTCAGAATCTCTCTGAAAAAGGGGGACAAGCAGGGAAGGAAGGAAGGAAGGAAGGAAGGAAGGAAGGAAGGAAGGAAAGAAGGAAGGCTGGCTATTAATTAAGATTATCATCTTTATGATTTATGTTTTCGGAATATGTGCTTTCTTGTGACATATGCTTTAAGAAGTCCTCAGCATTTTTCATATACATCCTTATCGGTGTCACTCTAGGGATTAAAACCCTTAGCTATTTCCAAATGAATCTGGCCCCTGGGAGACAGAAGGACAAGCTGGGCAGGCGCCTAAACATCACTTTTGTACTTATCTTTCCCCTACACTTTGTTTCCTAGTGGTGGATAGTGTCTTGTGAAGAGGGGCCAATGTTCAGAGCAGGGCTTATTCTTTTGTGTTTTCTCCTCCTTTTAGGCGCAAATCCAAAATGCCGAGCTAGTCATCAATACCGATAATGGCTGTCCTATAGGGGGAGTAACAGCTCAGCTTCTTCTTTATGGGGCTCCTACAGGACCAAGCATGACAATGATTTGCAGATGCCTCTGAGTTTTTAGTAGACTCCAGAGACTTGGGGATGGAGATTTCAGAGCCCTGTTAGTTTCATCTTGGGAGAATGACATGCAAGGGAAGGACTTTGAGTTTCTGTAGTACCAAACAGGGTTTCTAAAGTATGAGACAAGCAGAGGGAGTTAACCATGCCTGCCATGGACCCTGAAGCCATGTCACTAGGCATAAGGAGATACAATTGGAATCTTCTAGTCAGGGGGTGAGGAGAAAGAATGCTGAGGCTTGCATCCAGGGTCTTGTACATGCTAGGTGAGGAATTCCACCACTAAGTTGTCTATACACAGCCCTGTTTATTGTTTATTGTGAAGTCTAAAGTCTTACTAAATCACACAAGCTCACCCTAAACTTAATCTGTAGCTTTGAAACTGTAACTTACCCACCTCAACTTCATTAATAGCATTAATTCCAGACCTGTGCTATCTTACTTAGCTAGTAGACTCATTTTAAATCCATATTTAGTATAGCTGTTGGGAGCTGAAGAAAACAACATAAAATCTATTAACAGACATCCAAATGCTTGTTTGGGGGAAAGTGTCACTTAGTGAAATAGAGCTCACTTTGCTGAGCCCGAAAGTTAGTAGAGCCAGCAGGTCCCCAGCTTCTAGATATATGTAGAGCCTCTCCCTTCCCAGAGGCATCCAGACAGAGTCAGCGTTATTAACTCTGCCTTCTTGTTTTCTTTGTAGACTGGTTGAGCATCAGCCTGCCACACCATGCGTATGAAGGAGACCATGTGACTATAAGCTGCACAGGGGAAAAGAACCATGATATAAGGAGACTAAAGTACTTCAAGGATGGATCTCACATAACTACTTACAGAAGTGCTTCGAGCTACACCATTTCAAATGCAAGATTCAGTGACAGTGGCTCCTATTTCTGTAAGGCAGATAGGAAACTTTTCCTATTCGTAGACGTAACAGAAGAAACAAGACATGTGTGGCTTGATATCCGAGGTAGAGGATCATTCCTTGAGACAATATGTCTAGGAAGGAGAATGCCTGTTGTAGGAAAGCCAGGGTAAAAGGCATATGACAACTACCCAGGGATGGATAAATGGGGGTGGGCTGCCTGTCCTGGGGTATGGATATGTGTGTCGTACTCATTGGGCACTTCTAGAGGACTGTGCAGTCGGCTAATAACAAGTGGTCTCTTTGGATTTTTCCCTCCAGAGCTGTTTCCAGCACCAGGGCTGACAGTCAGCTCCCTGCAGCCCATAGAGGGGAGGTCAATGACCCTGTCCTGCAACACCTGGCTCCCTTCAGATAGGGCAACCACCCAGTTACGCTATTCCTTCTTCAAAGATGGCCACGCTCTGCAGTCGGGTGGGAGTTCACCAACATTTACGATCTCAGCAATATGGAAAGAAGACTCAGGAAATTACTGGTGTGAGGCAATGACAGCGTCTCACAGTGTCTCAAAGCAGAGTCACCGGTCCTATATAGATGTGGAGAGTGAGTATCATTGAGTTGGGCCGATGGGGCTAAGTCAGGCAGGGAGAACAGGTCTCCATCAGAGTGCAGGCTCTTCCTTATCCCTGAGTTGAAAGCTGCTGTGACTCACTGGGGCCCTTGAACACTAATTTTCCAATGACTTTCCCCTCCCCTTCAGAAAAGTAACAATGGTAATTTTACTCAGAAAACCAAGAGGTCAGTGAAGTAGAACCTCTGTCTATGAGGAGAGACCCCTAGTTAACAGGTGGTGCAAAGAAGGCACGAATAACGACATTTGAAACGACAATAACAGCCTGCTACTTATAAAAGGAATTGCTATATTTCAGATCCGAGCTAAAGCTGCTGTGATGTTTTAGCTCTCTCGGACTTTCACAATCCGAAAACAGGAGACAGAAAGATTTACCATGTGCACGATGCTGTGAACGCTTTGTCCTCACAGTGGCCTGGGGAACAGTTTTATGAGTAGCGCCTGTAAAATGGTACTGTGACTCTCCCCACTTTACAGACGGAGACCTGGTCAACATGGCCCTGGGATTTAAATGTGGTTGCTCCAGCCCCAGGACACGTACTTTTAAGTACTTTGCAGCACTTCCTCTCAAGCGTCACTAGTTGGCACTGCTGAGCAGTACTGGGGAGAGAGACTGCCTGATGGCTACATCTCAGCTAATCTCATGAGAACTCTGTGAGGTTACTAGGATTATCCAAACGCTAGTGAGAAAAGCTGAGGATCAGAAATCTAGATTAGATTCTGCAACTACTAAAGGGCAAAACTTAATTGTTTCTCAGGTTGAGAACTTCTTCCTTTATGCCATTCCAGTCTCTCTCTCTCCTACTGTCTCAAGTCACAGGGAAGTCAAGAGAAGGCAGAACACTGTGGCATTCCGACACGAGAGCAAACAGGGAAAAGGACAGGAAGTGCGGGATAGGATTGTTATTAAGCATCAGAGTAGCCCTGTGAAATGCTCCTCAATATGCTCCATTCCCGGCAAGCAGGGTGGACTCTCAATTCCATATATAGACCTGATGTAATTCCCAGCAGGAGGTACTGGACCCCTCCCATCCTGAATTTCCCCACCAAGTCCTTAACAATTGTCCTCTGATCATAGGGATCCCTGTGTCTCAAGTCTCCATGGAGATCCAGTCTCCAAGGGGCTGCGGAGTTGAAGGGCAGACACTGGTCCTTGTTTGTTCTGTGGCTAAAGGGACCGGGCTCATAATATACTCCTGGCACCGAGAGGATACAGAGGAAAGCGTGGGGAGGAAAAGCCAGCGTTCCCAGAGAGTCGAGCTGGAGATCACTACTGCCAGAGAAAGTCACGCAGGGGGTTACTACTGCACTGCTGACAATAGCTACGGCCTCGTCCAGAGTGCTGTAGTGAACATCACAGTAAAAGGTAAGCAGCCTTCCTATTAAGGACCTGGTAACTCTCAGCTGGGGATGTTCGAAGATGTGACAAGGTACAAGGAAAACATGAAGAGGCTGGGAAGCCGTCTGAACACAGCGGGGGGAGGGGGAGTTTTGATGGTGGAGGTAAAACATGGCAACAGTGACAAAGGAACTGAGAGAGGGCATGGAGATGGAACACGAGGCAGATTGTGTGGTATAGTTAGAGGCTTGCCCTCCAGAATTGTCATCAATGCATAGCTGCTCTGCTGGATCCTCCCCTGGAGGATTAGACCCAGCAGTGAGATGTTGGGAAAGAACTTGAATGAAGACAAGTTAGGCTGTGAGTCATACCACCCTCTGACGCTCTACTGTGCTGCCAGTTCCAGTGTGGCACCCTCTCCTCTCCATCAGTGTTCCTGGGGTGCTGCCCTTCATTGGGGATGTGGTGGAGCTTCAGTGTGAAGACAAGAGAGCATCTCCTCCCGTTCTGTACCGGTTTTATCATGAAAATATCACTCTGGGCAACATCTCAACACCTTCTGGAGGAAAAGCATCCTTTAAGCTCACTCTGACTGCGGGACATTCTGGGAACTACTCCTGTGTGGCTGACAATGGCTGGGGGACAAAGCGCAGTGAGGTGGTACTACTCAGTGTCACAGGTAAGACAATGTAATGTCTCATTCCAAGGTGCAATTTGCAGTATGCCAAGCCACGACTTTCTTCCTTTTCCTTGTACTCTCCCACTCTCCCGGGCATCTGAGCTCCATTGAGGGACCGTCTTTACCCCCAGTTTTGCTTTCCAGTTTTAACAAACAGCGCCTCTGGTCGCTGCCTGTCTTTCCTCTCTGCTCTTCTTGAATCACATGTGTGTAAAATTGGGGGTCGAACTAGAGTAAGGGGCAGGCTAGGTGAAGCATGGTGAGAGAAAACAAATGTCCACAGAAAAAGAGAATGTTCCTGTACCCTCAAGCTCAGTGGGTCTTTCTCTGAGGACCCTCTGACTGCGTAGCTCCCTCCAGCCCTGTGGTTAAGAACAAAAATAAAAAGCCCACAAAAAAAGACTCCTAGATTTTTTTCTTTCTTTCTTTCTTTCTTTCTTTCCTTCTTTCTTTTTTCCTTCCTTCCTTCCTTTCTTTTTTACTAAGATTGCATCACTTAATTTTAGTAGCAACATAATTATTACACAAATAAAGAAATAAAATTTAAATTAAGCAGCTTGTCCAAGGTTACTTAATAGGAGTGCCATGAGCAGATACAAAGATGACACTAAAGCTTTGTAAGACTTTGCCACTGTGCAAATAGGTCTGGATGGTTGTGTGATCTTTCTTCTTCTTCTTTAATCCATTGTTGGAGATAATATTTACGCACAAGTTTCCTAATGTGGAACATTACTGAGTTTCCCTTAGAAGCCCTTCTTAGTTATCATAGGCAGTAGCTTTATATGACTTGCTAATATTTTATTTCAAGTGTTTGCACCTGCGTGTTAGTGCTAGCTATCAAACTCAGGACTTCAAGCATGCTAAGCTTTGTCCCCTTGTATCCTATTAATACATTAGGTTTTTTTTTGTTTGTTTTTGTTTTTTTTGTTCTTAGTTAGGGATGCATTAGCTTTGTAAGAATGGTTTCACGGAGGTTCCACAAATTCTGTGTTGAGAAATTTATAACGACATTTAAATTATCTACTACTTGAAGTCTTTGCAACTAGCCAAGGATTCTGAGTCCAGTAGACTATTGCTTCTACTGTCAATTTTTTTCAATAATTAGCTTTTTCAATTTTTTTGCTTAAATGTTGCCTTTTATTTAAAATGTTCAGTTGCAGCATTTTTTTAAAATTAAATTTTCTTAAATTTATTTATTAAAAATTTCCACCTCCTCCCCTCCTCCCATTTCCTTCCCACTCCCCCCTTCCTCTTCCCCTCCCTCTCCAGTCCTAAGAGCAGTCAGAGTTTCTTGCCCTGTGGGAAGTCCAAGCTCCTCCCCTCTAGATCCAGGTCTAGGAAGGTGAGCATCCAAACAGACTAAGCTCCCACAAGGACAGTCCATGCAGTAGGATCAAAACTCAGTGCCATTGTCCTTGGCTTTTCAGTCAGCCCTCATTGTCAGCCACGTTCAGAGAGTCCAGTTTGATCACATGTTCCATCAGTCCCAGTCCAGCTGGCCTTAGTGAGCTCCCATGAGATCAGTCCCATTGTCTCAGTGGGTGGATGCACCCCTTGCAGTCCTGACTTTCTTGCTCACATTCTCCGTCCTTCTGCTCCTCATTTGGACCTTGGGAGCTCAGTCCAGTGCTCCAATGTGGGTCTCTGTCTGTCTCTATCTCCATCCATGGCCAGATGAAGGTTCTATGGTGATAGGCAAGATATTCATCAGTGTGGCTATAGGATAAGGTTAGTACAGGCACCCTCTCCTCTGCTGCCCACAGAACTAGTTAGGGATATCGCCTTGGCCATTTGGGAACCCCTCTAGAGCCAAGACTCTAGCCAACCCTAAAATGACTCCCTTGGTTAGGATACCTTCTTCCCTGCTCCCATATCCACCCTTCCTCCATGTCAATTATCCCATTCCCCCAAGCTCTCCCCAATCCTCCCCTTCTCCCTTCTCTCTCCCCATCTCCCCTTCCCCCCAGTCCACCCCAACCCCCTGCTCCTAACTTTTGCCCGATGATCTTGTCAACTTCCAATACCCAGGAGGATAAATATATGTTTTTCTGTGGGTTCACCTTCTTATTTAGCTGCTCTAGGGTTACGAACTATAGGCTCAATGTCCTTTATTTATGGCTAGAATCTGCTTATGAGTGAGTACATACCATAATCCTCTTTTTTTGGGTCTGGATTACCTCACTCAGGATAGTGTTTTCTATTTCCATCCATTTGTATGCAAAGTTCAAGATATCATTGTTTTTTACCACTGAGTAAAACTCTAAAGTGTATATGTGCCACATCTTCTTTATTCATTCTTCTATTGAGGGGCACCTAGGTTGTTTCTAGGTTCTGGCTATTACAAATAGTGCTGCTATGAACATAGTTGAACAAATGCTCTTGTCATATGATAGGGCATCTCTTGGGTATATTCCCAAGAGAGGAATTGCTGGATTTTGAGGTAGGTTGACTCCCAGTTTCCTGAGAAACCTCCACACTGATTTCCAAAGTGCTTGCACAAGTTTGCATTCCCACCAACAATAGATGAGAGTTCCCCTTACTCCACAACCTCTCCAGCATAGGCTATCATTGGTGTTTTGGGTTTTAGGCATTCTGACCGGTGGAAGATGGTATCTCAAAGTTGTTTTGATTTGCATTTCCTTGATTGCTAAGGAGGTTGAGCATGACCTTAAGTGTCTTTTGAGAATTCTCTGTTCAGTTCAGTATCCCATTTTTTAATTGGGTTAATTAGAGTTTTAATGTCTAGTTTCTTGAGTTCTTTATATATTTTGGAGATCAGACCTTTGTCTGTTGCAGGGTTGGTGAAGATCTTCTCCCATTCAATAGGTTGCCTTTTTGTCTTAATGGCAGTGTTATAACTTTAAAACAAACACTGTTTTTATTACAGGGCTATTATTGTAGGGTTAAGAGATGACTGAGTGGGTAGGATCCCTTGTAGCATATATATGAGGACCTGTGTTTGGGTCCTCACTGCTCACCTGGGCATAGCTGTTTCAGGGAATGCAGGCACGATGACCTTGGGAGGTTGCCAGCTGCCAGACTAGCTGAAAAAATGCCAAGACAGAGTTCCTGTGGAAGACCCTGTCTCCAGAGAAGAAGTAGGAAGAAGAATGTGGAAGAGACTCGGTGTCCTTCTCTAGCTTCCTTATGCACACATACACTGTATACACACATTCAGCTCCCCATAAAACAGTTTATGTGTTTTGTCCCCCAAAGATGAGCAAAATATAGGAAAGCCTAAATTTTCAAATTTATCATAGACTCTTTTTTTTATAATTTATTTATTTATTTATTTATTTATTATGTATACAATATTCTGTCTGTATGCCTGAAGGCCAGAAGAGGGCGCCAGACCTCTTTACAGATGGTTGTGAGCCACCATGTGGTTGCTGGGAATTGAACTCAGGACCTTTGGAAGAGCAGGCAATGCTCTTAACTACTGAGCCATCTCTCCAGCCCCTATCATAGACTCTTGAGCACTATGTCTGGTTTTAGTTTCTACTGTGTCTATGTTCTCTCCTCATTTTCAATATGCCCGTATAGTCCCCTTTTCTCACCAGATTTACCAGTAGTCTTTCTATGGTATGGTTCTTTATTAAAAGTTCAGATTTCTTTTATATCTTTTACTTTTCAAGTCAATATCATTTTATTATTTCAAAGTATTTTTCTAATTCATTTGCTTCTTTTTCATCTTAGAAACAAATGTACTTAAAACTAAGTGCAACTTTTATCTCATTAAAAAAATTGGCATATGATGTATTCATTTGCTTATTGTCTACATATGTGTAACATGGTTTCTTAATTATTTTGTAAAAAGAACTTAAAATTTCTTATAAATAAATGTATATCAATCCTTTATTTAGATATTCCTTTGTTCTTATATTTAGCATTTATTAAAATCCTATGTTCTTGTATTTAGTATTTATTAAAATGTAGCCTGTAGAAATTTTACTTCAGAGAAATTACTGAAACTTGGTTGATGGGCTTACATGTTGTCAGTTAGTGCATATTTTCTCTGTGAAACAAAAAAAAATGTCATTTTTGTGTTTTGGAAGTATATTAAGGGTTTTTTTTTCTTTTATTTCAATTACTTTCTTCATTTAGTCTTATACTTCAGTCTCTTTAGTCTTATAGGCATTTGGACTCATTACTCTATCAAGTTTTGAGAAATACTTTTTTTTAGACAGGCCCTTGCTATTCAGCCCTGACTGACCTGGAACTCACCATGTAAACTAGGCTGGACTCAAACTCACAGAGATCATCTAGCTTTTGCCTCCCAAGTGCTGGGGTAGAAGGTGGTTTCTAGCTTAGGAGAGCATTCTTGCTATTGCCTGTAACTTTCCTGGTCTGCCTGCCTGTTTATTACCTGTATTGCTGTCTTCCTTTTTCAGGGATCTCGCCAAGATCTGAGTAGTTGTAAGATGGGATATGCTGACTGCAAATGATGAAAATTCCCTCTGATTGACCTACCTCCTCCTCAAAGTGATGCCAACAGGAAATCAGTAGTGGGTGTAATTTTCTGTAGCCTGGGATCCATGCACTCTCTCCTCTTCATCCCTCTACCATCTTCTTTCACAGACAAGCAAAGTTGGCCACTGATTGTGTTAAGCTTATAGCTGAACTTTACCCTAGAGATCTCAGAGAAAGAACAATCCTGAGTTTAAGTCCCCTCTGGACTATGTAAAAGATCTTGTATCAAAAGAATCTAATGGTCATGGCTATAACCCCAACATTTTGTGGGAGGCTGAGGCAAGAAAGTCACTGTGAGTTCAAGGCAAGACTGGGCTTCATTGGAAGAAGAGAGACAGAGAGAGAGAGAGAACGAGAGAGAGAGAGAGAGAGAGAGAGAGAGAGAGAGACCCTTTCTAATTTCTAATGACTTCAATTTTTTTTTTAAAGAAGACTGGGCATGATGGGTAACATATACCAAAGGCAAGAGGATTGTTTGAAGTTCAAGATCAGTCTGGGAAATATAGTGACTCCCCAGTCTCAACAAAGTAAAATACCGAAGTAAGCAGAGACAGACTGCACCAATATGCTTAGTCTATCCTCTGCAGAGAAAATGAAATGGACCTTTGACTGGCAAAGTCATCAATGAAGTATGGAACATTTTTTTTAAAGCCACAAAACAAACAAAGTAGGCCATTTTCCATTGCACTCCTCAGTCTCTATCATTAGGGAAGATTTAATTATATCTCTCTGTGCTTTTAAGATTTTTTTTTTTAATTCATGCATCTTTGTGTTCCAGGCCCACTTAATGGGAACATTGGTGATGTGAGATGGTGGGAAGGATAAAAGGGCAGCAAGGCAAAACCAGACTCTAAGATCTCACCTTTAGCAGCTCCTTACATGGCTTAGTTTCCTTTCCTGTTGCCATGACAAAAACACTTGATAAAAGCGACTTAAAGGAAAAGGGTTTCTCTTGGCTAACAGTTCAAGGGTCATGGTGGAGAATCAAGGCATGGGGTACTTGAAGCATCTGGTCATATTACGTCTATAATCACCAGAGTCATGAACACTTGTACATAGTCAACTTTCTCCCTTTCATACAGTCAGGGATCCCAGCCTGGTGAATACTAGAACCTACAGTGGGCCAGTCTTTCTAGCGCAATTAACCTAATTCATAGCATTCCACAGTCATGGTCACAAGCCAACTTAATTTAGATAATCCCTGATGGATGGGGCCTGAAGACTTTTCTTTTTAGGTGATTCCAGCTACTGTCGATCAAAAATTAACATTAACTATGACCGTACCCCTGTCCCACTCCCCAACTGCTGTGGAGACTGGGGTACATGGAAGCTGCCTGACTACCGTATGCATGTTTTTAATGTACTTTCACCCATTCTATTTACAGAGCCCCCACCCAAAGTACGTCTAGTGAATGGTCCCCACCGCTGTGAGGGACGTGTAGAGGTGGAACAGGAAGGTCGCTGGGGCACAGTGTGCGATGATGGCTGGGACATGAAGGATGTGGCTGTGGTATGCCGAGAGCTAGGCTGTGGAGCAGCCAAGCACACACCTATAGCCATGTTGTATCCACCAGTAGTCGATGAAGCTCTGCCTGTGCTCATCCAGGTAGCCCTGTGCAATGGGACAGAAAAGACCCTGGCTGAATGTGACCAGGTGGAGACCTTTGATTGTGGACATGATGAAGATGCCGGAGCTGTGTGTGAAAGTGGGTGATGATGGATCTGACGTGGGCCTGAGCCCCCTCCTTAGGCTACCATCTTCTGCTTTCCTTTCTGTACCTATTCTCCAGTAGAATGCACCAAGGGCAACATGGTCAGATCACATTAAGTTGTCCCTGAGCTATTATAAAAAGACTGTCTTGAGTGCTGGTGTTATTTGTCCTTATTGGCTGTCTTAAAAGATAAAATCATTAGTATTTTTATGGTTGTGAGTTGGAGCAAAATATGAAGCATCAATTTTTACAGTTTGGGAGGTTTTAGTCAGGGTGACACTGCTTCCATTATTGTGAAATCTTTTCAGCTCTTCTGAGTTCTTTCTTTTTTTTTTTTTCATTCCGTTCTTTTTTTTTTAATTTATTTATTTATTAAGGATTTCTGCCTCGTCCCCACAACCGCTTCCCATTTCCCTCCCCCTCCCCCGATCAAGTCCCCCCCCCCTCATCTGCTTGAAGAGCAATCAGGGTTCCCTGACCCGTGGGAAGCCCAAGGACTGCCCACCTCTATCCAGGTCTCGTAAGGTGAGCATTCAAACTGCCTAGGCTCCCACAAAGCCAGTACGTGCAGTAGGATCAAAAACCCACTGCAATTGTTCTTGAGTTCTCAGTATTCCTCATTGTCCGCTATGTTCAGCTAGTCCGGATTTATCCCATGCTTCTTTCCTTAGCAGCCCTATCCATTGGAATAAAGCTCTGGATTCTGGGAGGACAGGCTGATGGGTCGTGTTGTAAAGATATTGGTGGCCCACAAAGTCAGGCCAGGAATCAGGCCATTAAAAGGCAAAGATCCAGAGGGTCAGAGCAAAATGAAATCTGAGGACTGCTGCAAATGTCAATATCTCCATAGAGCCTGTGACTAGAGAGGAAGTCGGGGACACTGTCCTCCTCAGCCTTAGCCCACTGAGCTAGAGTGGCCTTTTGTAAAAAGAGAATTCCTTAGAACTACTGGGTCCATGCCCATTGCAAGGCATTTGTAAAGATCTCAGATCCTTCAAGGAAATGAAGTCAGGACCAGGTTCTGCACAGCCCATGGGACCTGGAGTCTACTACACAGAGCCTTTGAGGTTGGCATCCCCCATGTACCAGCCTAGAAGTAACAACTCCTCTATGGTTCATCATCAGAAAAGTGTGACTTCTAGTCCAACACCCTTTCTGAGTCAAGATAAAAGCAGGATTTCACACATTCATGAGGCTTTTTGGTAAAAGTCCATGTGTAGGAAGAAGAAACCTCAGGGGTTGATTTGGGATGGTTGCGACAGGATGTAGGTGGCTTCTGTGGTTCAAGCTGGCTTCTGTCCTTGTTCTCACACATTTCCTTAGAAAATCTGGTGAATGTGTCTGCACAGTCCTTTGCCGGGCCTCTGCATACTGACCTCCTCTCACTCCCTCTACACAGTGGTCTTGCCTAGCATTTCCTAAAGATCTAATGAGACAACATTGGACCTCCTATTTTCTGCGTTTGGGCCTCACCATCCTAATAGTCTGTAGTTTCCACTGGACTTCAAAACTTCATCTGTGACTCATTTGACTTCAAGAGAACTCAAAATGATTCTGCTCTGAGCTAATTCTGCTCTAAGTTCTAACAGCACTAAAGAAAGTCCAAGTTCCCAAGGCCCTGGAAGTCAAGTTTCTTCTATATTCCTCCTTGGGCATATGAAGAGGTGGGCACAAGTGAGAATCACATGTGCCTGGGCCTTCCGTCTGATATGATAGAATGTGGTCAAATAAAGTACATACAGTAAAATAAACTGTCAATGATTTCATTTCGTGATTTGGGAAGAAACTAGCTTTTAAAAATCTTTATAAGCCATTTGCTTAAGTTATAGATATAAATCAAAAATTTTTAAGATGATATATAGAAAAGTTAGACAAAAGTCACATTTTCAGAGGTAACTGATATTTACCAAAAGGGATTGTGTAAAATAATATGTACAGATGGATGATGTGGGATTCCCCTCTGTATGCTGTGAATATGTTTTATTGCCATTGGTTAATAAAGAAACTGCGCTTGGCCAGTGGCTTAACAGAGCAAAGCCAGGTGGGAAATCCAAATAGAGATGTAGAGAGAGAGGAGGCAGAGTCAGAGAGAAGCCATGTAGCTGCTGCAGGAGACAGATGCTGGACACCAGACAGAACCTTACCCATATTCCACAATTACATGGCAATACACAGACTAATAGAAATGTGTTAATTTAAGATGTAAAAGCTGTCTAGAAATATGCATAAACTAATAGGCCAAGTAGTGTTTTAATTAATACAGTTTCTGTGTGATTATTTCAGGTCTGGGTGGCTGGGAAACAAATGAGCAGTTTCTGTCTACAGATGAATGAATGAATGAATGAATGAATGATTAATTTAATTGATTGTTTTATATATTGCACATTATGTTATTGTTTAATTAAATCCAACAACTTAATGTTAAAGAATTTCTATAGCAAAATATGCATTAACACAACCCACATATATGTGTACAAGTTTCTTGAAATTATTGTAAAAATTTTTACATTGGTGTTTTCTTATTTTAAATTTGTCTTCCCTTTTTTGCTGATTTTGTTTTCAGATGGGCTATCACTGTAGCCTAGGATGCCCTCAAACTTGAGAGATAGCCAAGGAGAACCTTGAACTTTTGTGATCCTCCTGCCTCTACCTTCTGGGTGCTTGGATGACTAGTGTGTACTATTGTACCTGGTTTTGTGTAGTGCTGGGGTTAGGACTTAGGATCTTTTGCATGTTAGGCAAGCATATAACTAAATTGCATACCTGTCCTATTATGGCCTTCTCAAGAAAGGAGATCTTGATTCAGAAAGACCCTTTAATTTTTTGTTTATTTATTTATTTGGTTTTTTGAGACAGGATTTCTCTGTGTAACCCTGTCTGTCTTGGAACAGACTCTGTAGATCAGGCTGGCCTCAAACTCAGAGATCCACCTGCCTCTGCCTCCCAAGATCTGGGATTAAAGGCGTGTGCCACCACACCCAGCAACCCTCTTTTTCTTATGACCTTTATTGTCTTTCAAAGTGAAAAAAGCCACATTCCCCACACAGTCACCCACCCTACATATCATCACTTATGCCTTAGCAGTGTCTAGGGCTCAAGACATAGTCATGGGAAGAGCTTCCTTTTAGAAGTTAGCAATTAAGCTTTGGACCTGTGTATGCGGAAAGAAGAAAAGTGGCACACACTTTTCTTCCAGGTCAGACATCAATACTGATAATTGATTGAATATATATTATGTTCTATATTTTATGTTATATAACATCATTAGAAAAGCTTTAAAAACTATTGTAATATATTTTAACTGATGTTTTATTGGGATGTATTGGTATCATACATTAATTTTAGGGTCAACAATATTTTTGCACCGTGTAATCTTTCAATATAGAAACGAGATATGTTGGCTCATTTGTTTTCTTTGTGAATCTCTCAACAGTTTCTTAAAATTCAATTCTTATAAATGCTTCCTGATTCTTATTGTGATGGCTGCTCTTAGTTGTAAACTTTGACTACATCTGGAACTAACTAAAACTCAAAATTAGAACACATCTGTAAGGATTTTTGCTTAATTTGAAGTGGGAAGACAGATTTCTAATCTGGACCATACCTTCTGCTGAAAATTTATATAAGGACATGGAAGAACAAAGTTTTTTGCTTTTGGCCTGCTTGCTCTTGCCCTACTAAAAATCCATTACTTCACTGGCATTAGAGCCTACTTCTTTGGGATCAAAAATTTAACTACTAAGCCTATCTTTTCGTTGAAGATTAAAAATTAATGTAGAGACATCTGGATGACCTGAGCTGTATGGACAATTTTTTTCATGACAGTCATTCTCTTTTATCAACTATCTCTTCTTTCATACAGTTTACTAATTCATATCATCCTAGAAAACTGGCTATTCAGCAGACCAAATTAAGGGCTGTATGGCCAAGGAGATTTAATAGGGGTTACTAATTATAGAGGTCTGTGTAAGAAGTTAGTCACAGGAGCAAGGTTGATTCAGAAGTAGCTGCATTGCTGAAAATCCTACCCCAACATTACTGACAGCTGTCAGAAGCTGTAATCCTGGAACTTTCTACACAACTTGCTGCTGGAAAGTCTGAGAATCCCTCTTACCCATAATTGGGCTGGTCTGAGTCTTCTCCCCAGTTTATTCCATCTGTAAAGCTGGGAAAGAGCCTTTAAGAAGCTCAAGTCTTATACTTTCCTAAACATGTGACATCTTGTTTATCTAGTGAGACTTCCTTCCTCCTATAGAGAATGTTTCAACTCAGAGGAAAACATTATATAACAGAACTTCATAGGGACTACATCGAAGCCCAGCTCCTACTTCTATACTGCTTATTCTCTTCACTTTTTATAGCTTTTTTTAAATGATAAAATTACTCTGTAATAAATTTTCTGCAAGGTATCATGGTGTCTGCTTTTCTGGAAACTCAGCCTGTGACTGTTCATTCAATGGTGTCAGAATCAACAATGATAATTGGCCTTATTCTGTTCTACAGACCACAGTGAATGATCAATATCTAAGATTCCAGGGATATCACATTTTCTTAGCATGGACCCAACAGATTATTCCCCAATGATCTATGTTGTAAGATCTGAAGACAGTGACACTTTCTGTCACCTAGTAGCCAGTAAAAGAACTAGACCTACTGGGCAATATAAGTTATATGTTCCTTGTAAGCAGTTAGCGTTGTGTAATTATGAAAACCAGTTAGTTTGAAAGGCTATTTCTCCTGTCTCATGCAGCATCCTGAAACAAACTAGGAAGCAGTTGGAAGAAACAGATACGGCAATGGCAAGAATGAGTGGAACCCATGAGAATGAGCTTGGCCTTGTATCAGTCTCTTGGTGCCTCCAGAGGGCAAAGACAATAAAATGTTCTGGAGAAGAAGGTGTCATCTTTCACTAATTTAAGCATGAAGGGGCTACAAAGCTGAAAAGTTACAAGAACTGGAATTTCTATGGGCTACCATGTCACACCATCAAAGCAAGTAAGTGGCTAAGCTCCAGGAACAAATTGCAAGAAGGCATTGGGTATTCATGATCCTTCAAGCAAATCAAGAGTATAACTGCTAGTTTACAAATATTGTACAAAGTATTTCTTGTGAATCATGCTAACCAAAAACTATTTCAGGCAGAAAATTTTGAAGAATTCAGTTCTAATTCAAATAGTTAAAACAAGAAGGTCACTCAACTTCCCAGCCTGCTCCCACCCGCCTGACTGCTAAGCTAAGGAAGAAACATGCTATGATGGCAGTGTCGTAAATCTCTCTATCAGATTACTACCAGGTTTATCCTTCCAGG